TGGGCTTCCTTACCTGCCTCAGGGAAGAAGCCACCTCCCCCCACCCCACCTGCTCTGCCAAACTTAAGGACCTTTAGGTCTCTCACCTGCTGTGAGGATCTCACAGACTCTCTGTACCTGGTGAGGTTGGGAGGTGCCAGGAGACTGTGGACATGAAGCAGCCGGGCACCTGGCAGATTCTGTCCAGCTCGGCTCTCCTTACCAATGGTAGAACTCTCTCCCTGTGCAGGGCCACATGCCAGCCATCCCGGGACCCCAGGAAGGAAGAGGAGACAGGAGCCAGCCAGGCGGGGGCTGGAGGGCAGGGAGAGACAAGATCCGGGCAGGGCCAGATGAGGTAGAAACGTCCTCAGGACCCTGTGGCACAGGCCAGGAGGAGGGCATGGAGCCTCAGGAAGGGTGCACAGAGGGCCTCCAAAGAGCTCTAGAGTCTGGGAGGGGCTTAGACAGAAAACGAGAAGGCTGGGGCAAGCCACCTGTCCCCGGGAGGGAACTGAAGGGTGAAGGTGTTCATCTGCCCACACCCCCATCCGTCCTACCCCTTTCCATCCACCCTGCATAGACCAGCATTCTGCCAACTGGAACAGAAGGGGCCAGAGGTCCAGGTTCTAGGCTTAGCCCCTCCTCCATGTGAAACCCCTATGAGCTGGGTGTGTCCCTACCTCACAGATACAAAAATGGGGCTCAGAGGAGATGCAGAACTTGGCTGTGATCACACAGCAAGTAGGTGGTAGAAGACACTCGAATCCAGGCATTTCCTGCATATCCATGAGGATTTCGGTGCAGCAGCGCCTTACCTCTTCCAAGTCTGTTTCTTAGATGTCAAGTGGGCGTAATGATCCCTCTAATGGGGCTGGGTCAGTGCAAATGAGGACGAGGGAGGCAGCACTCCAACAGGGCAGGCCCCAGGCCCCCCAAGAGAACCCAGACCCGCTGCAGGAGGTTGGGGAAGGGCAGAGGGCAGCACCAGAGGTCCCGCTGGAGGCTGGAGAAGGGAACTCCCCAGCGCCCAGGAGCCAGAGCTCTCCAGAACAGGAGAGGTGGGAATCTGCCTGTCTGGTCCTCCAGGCTGCCAAAATCCTGAGTTCACCTCCATTAAAGACATGCTATCCAAAGAAAGACCATGAGCCAGTCCCGATCACAGATCTGAAGCAAGCATCCTAACCACACACTGGCAGTGACTTAAACCATGGAGCTCCCTTGGGGCTCACTGGGTCACAGAAGCCAGGCTGGCTCCTGGCTAGGAAGCCCACAGCAGAGCCCACTGCACTGACTAATTAAATAGGACATGTGGCTCTATCAGTGGGTGTGCAAAGGGTGTTTCTTTTACAGTCATCGGACATTCCTAATCGTTTAAAAAATCTAATTGAAATATAAATAGTCTCAGCAGAATAAAGACTTATTTTCAAATCCAAAAGCAAACACTGATTCCAAGTGCAACAGCAAAGACCTTCCGTTACCACAGACGCAGTCCGGGTCACGTCATTATTCAACTAAGCTTTTCAGGTCCCTGCTAATGCAATACGAACAAAAATTAAATAAGCAATAAATATATTGGGAAGGCAGAGTCAAAATTTTCTTCCCTTGTAGATTACCCAGGTGCACACCAGAATCTAAAACTGTCCTGCTAACATCAGAATTTGGAACATAAGTGTTGGAATGTGCAGCTTTCCCCGCCAAGGAGCAGGGCTATTGTGGTTGCCTGGGCACATTGTGGGCCCTGCTTTTCTGGAGTTCGGAAACCACCTCTGCAGCCTCCCAGCCCCTAGGGTGTTGCTCCACAACTTTGGTTATTCCAGGGAGGTACATCTTGGCAACACCACCAAAGAGGCTAATAGGGTCCTGTCGGCAGCGCAGCCTCCCAGCCCTCGCAGCAGTCCTTTATGAACCCCCTGACTGTTCTGCCCTGGGGAGCTCTGCCCTACCATCCTCAAGCACCCCCCAAACTCAGGTGAGCCACGAGCACAGCTTGAATCTTCCTGTAACAACCACTCCCTCTGGACCCACTCGGCCAGGGTAGCAGAGACCTGATGACATGGTCAGCACAGATGGCGCATCTTCTCCCAGGCCTGTGTGCGGCCGGGGCAGGTGGATAAATCTGTTTATGCATCTGCTGCCACACCCAGGCCATCTGCTGCATGAGACAGGCGGGGATCCTGCAGGGCAAGACAGGGGGGCCTCATGCTCCTCAAACTGCACCCAAATGAGGAAACATCAATCAAAACTGAGTGCGTCACTCTAGAACTGGACAAATGGATCCTGAAATTCACCTGGAAGAGTGAACTGTGAGGCGTAGCAGGACTCCTGTGAAAGGAGGTACCAGGAGGGCACTTGCCTTGCCAGCTTTGGAGCTCGCCATGGACTGACCGGAAGCCAGAGAGCACAGCGGCAGTGGAGGGTGGCAGGCCGGAAACACGCAGGTGCTGCGGGGGTACCTCTGCTATCGAGGCCACGGGGGAGATGGGTTATCTGCTAAGTGGCATCCAGCAACGTCGGCCACCTGTGCGGAAGAAGGTCCTGCCTCCTGCCACATCGGACACAAGACAAGCTCCAGGTGAACTGGATTGTCAACGTGGTAGCCAAACCTGTGCCAAGATTACAGGAAAATAGGCTATTTTCATAATAAGCAGGTGGTTCTTCCAAGATCTGAAATCCAGAAACCATAGAAGAACAACCGGACAGATTCACCCATGTGGAACTCAACAACACACATGTGCATAGAATGAAGACACCAAGAGATGAAGGAAATGCCTGCAAGACACCCACCTGGGGGGGCCTGGGTCCCTCACGCAGTCCAGGTATGAGTCTCACACACGGGGAGGTCAGGCGTCACGGGGGTGAAGGGAAGGGCCAAGGATGCGGCCCGGCAGTTACGGAAGACATACCCGGCTGGTGAACACCTGAGGTCGTGTTTTACTAATATTTTTAACATGGAAATCAGAATGAAAGTCTGTTGTCCTCTTTGTCTGTCAGACTGGCAGAAGTTCCGATCGCTGGGTGATGTGCACTGCCAGGGAGGGTGGGGCGCACCTCCCGGCACATGTGGCTGAGCCAGCCTTCCTGGGGACCTAGTTCATTTTAAAGCAGACCTCTGGCTTGGCCGCCCACTTCGCAGATCGATCTGACAGAAGTGATCACTGATCCCGTAAGGACATGAGGACGAGGATGGTCACAGCAGTGTCGCGGACAAGAAAAGCTGAGAGCAGACCCCTGCCCCCAGATAAGGTGTGGCCACCAAACCACAGGGCGCCCATTCGGGGGCGTACTTAGCAGACATGTAAACAGGCTGTCTAGACATGCTGACCTGGAAGGTGTCCTTGGTGAATTCCTCAGGAAAAGCTGGGGCAATGGCTCAACAGCATGTCTATGTGCCCGGCTGGACCAATCACTCCACATGGACTGTGGGGTTCCACCTCCAGTGATAATTTGTTAAGGTGGGGACTGCCCTCCAGCACCTTTAAGGTGGGGACAGACAGGCCCACAGCTTCGGAGCAGGAGCCGCCTTCCAGGCTAGAGGTTGGCACTGGCACTGTGCTGCCTGCCCCTGAGGCCTGTCCACGTCCCACCTCACATCACTTCTTAAAAGAGCACGGAGAATTTCCCTCCTTGCTGTGAACTAATGCTTTCTTCAAATAATGAATTCAGCACACAAAGCTTGGCGTAGAGTTGGTTTGAACCCCATGCCTTGTGGCACCTCCACGCCTCCTGGCACCTCCAGGCTTCCATGGCTCCAGGTCTTCACTGGCAGAGGCCTCCAGTCTCCTCCGAATCCTCAAGCTCCTCTTCACACTTGCCCTGAAGGAGCAGCTGTTCTCCAGGTCACCCCCCACCAGCGCCCAGGCCCCTATGCTCCCCAAAGCACTGGACACTTCACTGAGGTCTGAGCGGGGGCCAGATGGGTACATCAGAGCAGCAGAGGAAACGTGACCGAGTGGAGACCCTCCTGGGACAAGTCCCAGGCACTCCCACCAGCAGGAAGCTGCCACCTGTCCCCAGCAACCCCCTCTCCCCTCTGGGTCTCTCACCCTGAGCCCCCACGTCCTTTCCATGGCTCACACAGGGGATGCAGGGGAGCCCCTGGAGGATGCCAAGGCTGGCTCTCCATGCAGCCGTTGTTTTTCCTAAGGAGTCGGGACCCACACGTGCCCATGGCCTGGGCCACAGGACAAGCCACACAGCTGGTGGGTGTGGGAGGCAGGGCTGGACTCAGCGCTGTGGGATAGAAACCACTGACAGCAGGGGCAGGGGGCCACGAGGAATAGCACCCTAAGACCTAGCTGCACAGGTCCTCCCTGCCTCCTCCCCCAGACACATCGGTCGGTGCCACCTCACAGGTGGGCTTCCTCAGCCTTGGGCAGCGCAGGCCTTCAGGACCCTGTACACAGTGGCACCCAACTCAGGGTGGGGGCAGTCTGGCTAAGAGGGCTCCCGATGAGCCTAAAGCAGCCCCCCGATAGCTCTCAGGGGAGCTGGCTTGAGCCCAATCACCCCGTGGCCATAAGAGAACAAGTGAGGGTGGAGCAAGAGAGGGTGCACACACAGGGGCACCCCCACTCGAGCTGGACCCAGAGAGTAGAGCCCAAGAGCAGCGTGCAGGCAGACGTGGGCGTGTGGGTGGACACACCTCCACGAGCTGGTATGCTAGAGATGGGCCAGTCCATGTGTGCAAATGCAAGGGCACCAGGTGGATGTGGGTGCACCACTCTGCAGGTGTGGATGTGTGCACACCACTGCACAGCTGTGCACTGGCATGAGTCTGAGCATGTGAACAGGGGCAGAAGGCTTCGCTCTCAGCTCACCCCTTGATCTTGTGCACCTCAACTCTTAACCCCCCAGTTGCTCCCAGACCTCACCAGTTCCAAGGTCCCCCACAAAACCCACACACCCCACAGCCCCTGAGAGTACCAGCACCCCACCCCCTCCTCCGTGTGCTTCCTCAGCGCCTCACTTCCCACTCTGCTGGGACACCCCTACCCCTGCCCACAGGCTCAGATCAGGTCTCTGAACTCAGAAGTGACTTTATTTCTTGTAGACAATGTCCTCACAGCCAGGCTGCTGGGCTTGGCCTGGCTCAGCCCAGCTACCCCTCAGAGATCTGGGGGTCCCAGCCCCCCACCCGCACCCCTAGGCCTTCTGCCTAAAGCCTGGTTTTCTGGAGATGTTCTGCTGGCTGGGACTCGGAGCTGGTGGAGAGACAGGGAAGACCCATGTCTCGGGAAGGAGTGAGGGCCACAGACCACCGAGCCAGGCCCAGCTGTGGAGGGGGCAACACCAGGCCCTGCCCAGGAGAGGGGACCTCAGGGCCCAGCCCAGAGGAGGGCAGGCCCCAGGCTGAGCAGGAGCCCCCCAGCCAGGACCCAGGGGCTGCCTCCCGGTCCCAACACCCTGTTACACAAATCCTTCTCACAGCAGTCCACGTCCACTTTTAAGATCCCAGAGTTAATGAAGCCCATCAGATAGTCTGAGAAAAAGTGTCGCTTGACGAAGTCGCAGGATGAGGCACACATCTTGTTCACAGAATGATCCTTCCTGCCTGGGGAAGAAAAGGGGAACCTGGGCTGCAGGCCCCACCTGGGCCCCATGCCTCTGGCCCAGGACCCAGCCTGGGACTCCAGAACAGCAGAGCCAAAGTTTTCCACCCACCCACACTGTTCCCAGCTCTATGGACAGCGCCACAGAGGGGCCAGAGTGAGGCAGGCACCTGCTCTCTGTCCATAGCAGGGCAGTGTCCTGCCCGCAGACCCATGCTCTTGTCCCAGGCCAGAGGGTCTCAGACAGCACCCCCATCTCTCTACATGCAGGCCCAGGTCCTGACTTACTGCTGCTGGGGTCGGTGATCCGGACGCTAGCACACACCGTGTCCGATGGTTGGCACCGCCTTGGGGTGCAGTGGCTGGAGTTGGTGGTCAGCGTGCAGTCCTGGCACCACAGGCCATGAACTGGCAGGGCGCACGGAGAAGGATGACCACAGGAGCTGGGCGCCAGCCAGCCCCCTCATCCGCCCCCTTGTGACAGCCCCACAGCTGTCAGAGGCCAGGTACCTGCTGGCTAGGAGTGACCAGGCCAGACTTGCACCCGGTGAACAGGCCCTTGGAGGACCTGTGTGTCTTCTGGGCAGTTTAGGGGGACGGTCCCACCACTGGGACTGTGAAAGTCCTATGCCCCCTCCCTGGCCCCACATGGAGGTGCAGGCACACACCCAGCCACTGGAATCTCACACCTGGGGTGCCCTCCTGCATGCTCCTACTCCTCATATGAGTCCCCCCAGAGCTCGGTGGGTTCCAAGCTAGGAAGGACCAAATAGGACGTGATGGGAGGCCAGGTGGGGCTTTGAGAAGCCATGGAGCACAAGGACCCTTGCACTGAGCTAGAGGCATCCATGCAGGACAAAGCGCTGGGGCAAGGCCAGGAAGGGGAAAAGCTGTCGGTGTCCTCCGGAGCCAGGAGCGACCCACAGGGCTGGAGCTGGGGCAGCCCTAGCCCTGCAAGGGTGACTGGGCAAGGGGCCGCAGGGGCCCGAGGGGGTGTGGGTGTGTTGCACATCTCAAGAAGATGGCAGCCCCACAGCCCTGCTCTCTCCCCAGAGCCTCGGGCTCTCCTGGCGACCTGGCTCATCCCCGTGGGCCACCCCCAGACTCACCAGGCGCAGAGTACAGCAGAGCGGCCAGCAGCAGCAGGCAGAGGCCCTTCATGGCTGCGGGCAACATGCTCCAGGCTGGCCTCGGGAAGGCGCGGGGACTGTGGGCGGGGGTCCTTTGGGGCGCAGGCCTGGCAGGGGGAAGACTAGTCAGGAGCCCGGCCCCCGGCCCGGCGACCCCCAGGACCCTCCCCTTTTCTGGCCTACAAACGCAACCTCCTCCCCGACCGAGGCTGGGTCTGCAGGGGGGCGGGGGTCGCAGGGCCCCACCCCCAGCCCATCCCCCAGAGCGTCCACATCACAGTGTCCCCTCCAGGGAGGACAGGTCTGCCCTCTCAGGCAGGGTGACAGCCCAAATGCCCACCCCGCGCCCGGAACCTAGGATAGGGGACCCGAGATGCGTCTTCTCCTTGGGGAGCTGTGGGCGCGTGCGGAGAGGAACGGGCAAGACAGGGTGCGCGCGGACGGCACCTGCCGATGGAGGAGGGGCGCGCGGCTCGGCCCCACTCCACCCCTGGGCTGCGGGGCCGGGAACCCCGCGCCTCCCCCGCTCCTCGCCTTCCCCGCGCGCCCGGCGGCTCACCGCGGGTCGGGGCGTGGAGCGCGGGCCTGGGTCGGGGGCGCACTCACATCCCTGGCGTCTGCACTCCGGAGCTCCGGGCGGCGCGGGCAGCGGTGCCCTTCGGTCTCCCTGCGGACCGGAACCCGGGCGCAGCCTCGTCTTTCGGGGAACGCAGCCGCAGACGCGGACCCCGCGCGAGGGGCGGAGCGGAGCCGGGGCGGGGGCCGCGCGGGGCGGGGGCGGCAGAGGCGCGCGGGTGGGGCGCCTGGGGCTCGCCGCCCGCCGCAGGTCTTCGTCCCGGGCCTCCCCGCGCCCTCTCCCGCCTGCGCCCCGCCGGCCCGCGCGCCCGCCCTCTCCGGTCCCGCTCCTGCCACCGCTGCCCCGCGCGCCCTTCCCCGCCGCCGCCTCCCCCTACCCAGGCGCGGCCAGGATCCCTTCCCCCTCTGCTTGGCTGAGATCCCCTCGGAATTTCTCGGAAGGACGTTTATCGCGAAAGGCAGCGAAACGCACAAAGACGCAGGGAGAGGGAGGTAACGCGCAGGTGCCCGTCAGACCCCCTGCCCTGCGGCCCCTCCCCGGCACCATCCCCTTTGGGCTGGTTTGGAGGCCGCTCTGCTGCCCTCAGCAACCGTGATGACCCCCACCAGCGGCCGAAGCCCCTGGGCCGCTGTCTCCAACCACACCCTCCCCAGGAGGACGAGCCCCAAATCCTGGTCAGGACATTCAGGGACCGCGCCGCGTGCTTCACCGGCTTCTCGGCTTTGTCCCTCGCCTCCCCGGCACAAAGCCTCCGGGCGCTGCGCTCTTGCACCTGCCGTCCCCTGTGCCCGGAATCCGGCTCTGCTGGGCCCTGAGTGAGCAGCTGCCACGCAGGGCATTTCTTTTCGTCCTGCCTTTGTCCAACAAATCCTTGTGGAGTACCCACTGGTGGCCTAGGGCTGCCCTGGGCCCTGGACAGCAGAAGGAGAGGGTTTCTGACCCTCACATCAGATGAACCATCATCACTAATGTGTCGCTTCAAAATGTGCCAATCATGGCACTGATGGAGCCTTCCCATCTAGTCGCCTGACTTGAATGACCTCCTGACAGCCGGACAACCACCCTCCTGTGCAGGTGTATCATTATCATTCCTATCTTGTATCGACGAAATCACAGCACAGAGAGGCCCAGCTCCCTGCCTGAGGTCACAGAGTGGCAGCTGACACAGCCAGTGCTGGAACCCTGTACATCTCCCCACTCCACTGCTGCTCTGGAAGTGTGAAGGCCAAGGAAGACATAGACAGACAGCCCCAATCCCAACGACCGGGGCTCCCACAGACCCAACAGAATTCAAGTATCAGTCCAGAGTCAAAAATCAGCAAACATCCAAAAGAAATAAGCCTCATAAGTAAAATGTAGCAGAAACAATGACAAGTAACAGATTTAAATCCCCACAAACTTTCTAAATCCAGTGCATCAGATATAGATATAAAACTAATCTGTTTTGTAGGTTTACGGCATATTAGAGGATGGAGCCAGTGCTCAGGACTGGCTGTGCTTAGCTGAATAACAGAATGCCTAGAGATGAAAAACACGACACTGAAATGAAAAAGGTCCACAGACACCTTGAAAGATTTATGCTAAGTGAAAATACAGCTCATTTAAAAACATACATTGCTTGGCTTGCTTTATATGAAATGTCCAGAATAGGGGAACTCAAAGAGATAGAAGGTAGATGAGTGGTAGCCTGGGCTGGGAGAAGGAAGGAGTGTGTCGTTTCTGCTAATGGTCAAGGGGTTTTCAAGTGTTGGAAATAGTCTAAAAACAGATAGAGATGATAGTTACACAACTGTGAATAAACTAAAAACCAATGAAGGGTATACTTCCAGAGCAAATTTTGCAGCATGTGAATTATATTTCAGTATAGCTGTTGTTAAAAAAAAAAAGGAAATTGTGTTAGGCAGCAAATTAGACACAGTTGAAGAGGGAATTTGTGAACTGGAATATAGATCTAAGCAAATTACCAAGAATGTAGCAAGAGGGATAATGAGATGGAAATAGAAAAGAGAAGTAAAACACACAAGAGACAGTATGCTGAGAGCTGGTATAAGTCTGGCTGAAGTCCCAAGGGAGAGAGAGTTAATATTTGAAGTGATTACACCTGATGACATTCCTGATCTCGTGAAAGATAAATATTTACAAAGAAGTACAATGTATACAAAACAGAATAAATGAAAAGAAAATTCACACCTAGATAGAACATAATGAAATTTCAGACCACCAAAGATAAAAGAAGAGGTAGATCTTTAAAACAGCCAGAAAGAAAGGTAGATCGACTCCAAAAAGCAGACAAACTGCAGAATTTCAACAGCAACAGCCAAGGACAGTGAAATAATACATATATGTATTATGGGCTGGAAGGAAAATAACTGTCAACTACAAACTCTTCACACTTTTTTCCAAAAATACATACAAAACAGATTTTTCAGATATTAAAAGTTCAGACAAATTTTTTCAGATAAACAAAACTTGAAAGAAGTTGAGAAAGTTTATCACAGTCTTTTATTAAAGGAGCTTCTAAAAAAAATGCACTTCAGAAAAAAAAATTATTCCAGAAGGAAAGGCTAGAACACAAGAAGGAATTACGAGTGAGCAGAAACTGGCTTCTGGGAGGGAAATGTGAGTTACCGCTGTCGGCGAGGACAGTAAGGATGTCTGATGTGTGGGGTTTGAAAAGTGGTGAAACATAAGGGATGGGTGACCACGCTGGAGGGACCTGGGACCCTCATGCTGTTTAAGAGGCGAGTTTGACCATGATGAGTGTTTAGATGTTAAAGAAGATGCACAGGAAAGTTTCCAGGGTGACCAGCAGAAGGGCCAGGGAGGAGCATTTCCCACAGGAAGTTCAACCAGAATGGAGGCTGGAAATGGAAAGAAAGTCTGTGTGCCTGGCCTACCATGATCCAGGGGACACTGGAGGGTGGTGAGGTAAGAAAAGAGGGCAAGTATCAGACCTCATGTGGCTTTGAAATCCTATTACAGAACAGACACTGTGTCCTAAGCATTTTAGTGTACTATTTGGGAAATCTTCAGGCTGCAGGTAACAAAAAACCCATACAAGAGTGTGGTGGTTAATTCTAACCACGATGCCCAGTTATTTGATCAAACATTATTATGTATGGTTCTGTGAGAATGTCTTTGGGTGAGATTAACATTTACGTCAGTGGACTTTGAGTGAAGCACATTACTGTCCACAATGTGGGTGGGCCTCATCCAACCAATCAGCTGAAGATCTGAATAGAATAAAAGACTGACCTTCCCCAAGCAAGAGAGAATTCTGCAGCAGTCAGCCTTTGAACTTGAACTGAAACATCAGTTGTTCCTGACTCTCTTGGGCCACCCTGCAAGATTTTGAACTTGCCAGTCTCTATAATTACATGAGCCAATTTCTCAAAGGAAATCTGTCTTCACATCCCATTGGCTTTGCTTCTCTGGAGTACCCTGACTGGTGCAGGAAGTGACTCACAGCTGAGGTGAGTGCTGGGGGTGCCCAGCCATTGAGGCTAAGGCTCTGTGCCTTTCCATTGATTCTCTTGACCTTCCCCTCATCACCAAGGGATGATGGACAGAGAAAAGAAAGCTTGGGAATGGCTTTGAGGTTAGGGGTCAGCAGTGTCTGCAGAGAAGTGAAAGGAAGGTGCTGAGGTGAAGGATGGACTTTGTTGACTTACATTTCAGAAGGTCTCTGTGACCCCTGAGTAGAGAATGGATTGGAAGCTTCTAGAATGGAGCAGGGAGTCCAGTGAGGAGGTGGCTCAGACCAGGGATGGCAGTAGAAATGGAGAAGGTGGATATGTTCACAGGGTTCGACAGGCCCTGGCTCAGAAGCAGTGGGTCTGGTACAGGACAGTAAAAGCAGCCAACTTGAGCAGTACTAAAGCATTTTCCTGAGTCAGGTGCCTGCGTGGGATCTCAGGTATATGTGGGGCTCAGAGGAGGATGGGGCTGGGGTTGTAAAAGTAGGTGCAGTCAACACAAAGACAACAGGCGTGCTCCTGGGGAGAAAGTGGAGAGGGAGGGGGTTCTCCAGGCCCAGCCTGGGAGGTGAGGCCTCAGCCTTCCTGCTAAGGTGCAAACCAGGTCCTGGGACAGGCAATGGGCATTGCAGGCTGACGAGAACCTCCTGGCGTGTACTGTGCCCAGCCCTGGTGACCCTGAGCTGGGAGCTGTCTGTCTGTCATCCACTCAGACTGGCCCAGCCCACCTTGGCCTGAGTCACAGCAGTGATTCTCACAGGAGCCTCTTCCCTCCCCTGGCCCACTGTTACTGCCCAGCTGCGCCCTTCGCCAGGCTACACGCAGCTGCTGCCAGATCTCAGAGCTGCCTCTGCCCAGACTGTGCCCACAGGCCTCCAGCAAAGCTCTCTGTTCTTTCTCTGGCTTCCAGTCACCCTCGCCCCCACCACGTTGCTGTCATTTCCTCCTCAGCATCTCCCCTCCACACCAGCGCTCTGCCTAGACCACCGCCACCCTGTTCTGGGTGTATGCCATGCACTGGATGTTATCCCACTGCGGGGATCCTCCCTCTCCCCATGGCAGCCAGCTCCTTCCAGGCTGGCATCCTGTGGGCATTTCTGCCACCAGCACCATCCCTGCTGCCACCTCCTCCCCACCCCCACAATCAAAGGATGGTCTCCAGACCCAGAAGCCCCTGCACTCTCCTTCCTCCCAGCCTTTGCTCACACCCTGCCTACCCCTCAAACATCCATCGCACCATCCCCAGGGCACACCCAAATCCTCCCACCCTGCACTTTCCTTTGCAATAAACAGTTCTGGGGACCTCCCCCAGCTGGCCCAAAGGTGGGATCTCATGTCCTCCCCCAATGCTGGGTCTCTTGGAACCCTTCCCCCAGACCACCCCATTGTCGCTGCGGATGACGCGTCTCCGTGGCGGCGCACAGCAGCTACGTGATCTCCACCTCAGCACCGGGCCTCCACGACCCACAGCTGCCTTTGCCCAAGACCAAGTCTCTGCATGCAGGGTTTCCTGAAGTCACCTGGACTTTACTCCAAAGGATCCCCCACACTGAGCACGAAGCTCACGGGACCAGCAGCTGCAAGAAGCTCCAGCTGCCAAGAGCCTGATGTCCAGCCCCAGCCCCCCACGGTGAGCACATCCCAGTCCCGCCAGGGTGTGCGGGGAAGCCAGCCAGGTCCTGTGCCAGGAGGTGGATGCTCTCGGGCCTCCTCATCCCCAGCCACCTGCACATGCACACACTCCACACACACGTGCATTCATGCGCACATTCGTGTTCACATGCACTCACACTAATGCATTGGCAGTGCCACACCCACATGCTGACATGCACTCACAGGCTTCCTCGCACGCTCACTGAGGGCAGTCCCAGGAGACAGAGGCAGAACAGCACGGGGGTGAGGGCTGGGCCCTGGGAGCAGACAGTCTGGGGACATTCAGGGTGTGTGGCTCTGAGCATGCGGTGACCTCCAGAGCCTCAGTCCCTTTGTCTGTAGACTGGGGACAATGTTAGGAACCTTGTGAAGGTGTGTGGTTCACACGAGATGCCACAGAGGTGAAGTGCTCACGGACATCCGGTCCAGACATGCAGGAGGGGTCACCTGCACTGTCATTGGTTGGTGGTGGCCCATGACTTGCTCTGTGCCAGGAGCAGCCAGTACAGGTGAC